CCCCCCAATGCCAGATCTAGTACCCATGGCACCCACCCTAGGATCTGTACGTGCAAGGAGTGAGCAGTGTGGGTCCCAGACTAGCTGGTATGGGGATGCTGTGTGCTATATGGGTCCTGGACTGGCTGGAACGGTCATCATGAGACGCATCCCAGGACCTACATGTGGAACTGATCCATTGCATGCTGCATGGGTCTGCTCAGACCCAGGAAAAGTACTGAGAACCAAGTGGCAGGTCTCCACAGGCCAGCTGCATTTTTGACACCCCGATATAAGGGATTGCTTATTTACTGCGTCAAGATATGGTGGCCTAATTAAGTTTGTTTGTGTATGAAGTCATAAGATTAGAATGCTTCTTTCAGATTCCCTCCACTATTTTATGACCTTACATATGGGCCTGAGTGTACTGTATTATTGGCAAAAAAAAATGTATTCCAATTAAATTATATCATGTGCCATGAAACCCAATTTAAAGATGTGGAGCTTAAAATTAATCCTAGCTGTAAGGAACATCCTTCAGTGTCCTGAGTATGAGATCTGTAACCACGGTTCCAAATCCAGCTAGCATTGATCTACTACTTTCTTTCAAGAAGCTGGAAGTGAATTGAATAGACTTTTGATAAATCTTAAATGGAGGTGCTCTTTGTGAACATTAAAGATCCCATAGCCAGTCTTCATAAGAGAAGAGGCTTACTCTAGTACAATTTGGCTATATGATTTCCTTTCTCCTTCTTTAGTGTGCAGCATGCTTTGTCCCAGTTCTTATATCTTTTGTCTCTGCAATCCATTCCTGTAAGTGGATGCATTTCAGCTGTAAAGTGTTTCCATTATAGATTTTGCAAACTGTTTTGGGTTCCTTGTGTATGAAAAGTCAATGGATATTTTTGCTGGAAACATGCATATAAATGTTGGGGAAAATTTATATTAATTCCAGTTTGGCCACTATATTCTCTGTGGTCAAATTTATGTAAAAGAGCCATATGATTGCTCAGAGCTCCAGT